GGCATTGTATTCCCCCGCCCACCCAAAAAGGAACTTCTCCAAGTTCTGTGTCTTATATTGTTCGGGGTGCAAGACTGAAGTATACCTCCAAAACACATGTGCATGCATTGACAATATCCTAGTACTGTGGGACTTGACCCCATTTCTGCTGTGAGAAAATATTTCTCTGAAAAATTCCCTGGGAATTAGACTGGGATAAAGATGGACACACGGCCACTGCTTTTCCTTCCAAAGGAGACTCTGCAGACCAGTGTGTGTAATCTTTAACATTTTACTTGGCAGTAGAACTTATCTAATGAAACATAAGGAGATGCAGCCCTGCACAACTGCCCGGATAGGCAGATGAACTTCCATTTCCACAGGCAATTAGGAAGAAACAGCTGGCTCTGGCAGATTGTGCCTATGACTAAATGCAGAAGGAATCTGGCATAAAAGAACTGGAAAGTCTTAACAAGGAGGAGGGGAACTTTTTAAAAAATGCATGTCACGTCTGCAGCAGATCTGACCTGATGTTTACCTCAGGATAACTAAGATGAGGATGTCTAGATTATTTAAACGTAGCAAAATAAGGTTAGTTCATGACAAGAAAGATCTGCAGTAGATCTTTGGAGTTCTCTAGAGCCAGGATGGGTCAGTGGGCAGATGATTGTTGTTAGATGTGAGAGGTTGTGATTTATTTGAACCACACATTTAAACTTGTTCCAGATACAGTGGTTATCTGTATTGAACTTAATCCATTCCAGAATGATGGTCGTAACTCGAAATGGTGGTATGTCGAAGCACCATTTCTCATAGGAATGCATTGAAACCCCATTAATCTGTTGTGGCCAGAAAAAAAAATCACACACACACACACACACACACAAAACCTGCAAGCCCCATTGCGTTGGGGCCGGGAAAAAAAATCACCAAAAACCAAAAACACAAAGCAAGCCCCATCGGAATGCATCGGAGCCTGAAAAAAAACGACACACAGACAAAAAGAACAAAGCAAGCCCCATCAGAATGCGCTGGGGCTTAAAAATAATAACAAAAGCAAACAAACAGAGCAAGCCTCGTCGGAATGCGCTGGGGCTGGAAACAGAATTGCCCCCAAAAACCAACAACACAGCAAGCCCCATCGGAAGGTGCTGGGGCTGAAAAATCAAACACACCAAAACACATACACAAAATCACAGCACAGAAACATAACCCCCCCATCCCAAACCCACCCTGCAAAACCCTGTATGTACTCACTCAGAAGCAGAAAGCAGCACCAGACACTCTGAAACCTCCTCCGAATGCACACATTCTAACCGCTGGGGTGAAAGAGCTACAAAGAAGCAGCCTCTTCGCTGACCAATGGTTAGTACATTTGAATTCCCCGCCTATTTCTCCACTTTTTTTCCGGTTGTAACACGAAACTCCGGTTGCAAGTTGAAGCAAAATTTTGCAGCTGGAGGTGGTCGTAACTCAAAATGGTCATAAGTCGGAACGTTCGTAAGTCAAGGTACCGCTGTACTTTTTTTTAATGTATGGAAGTGGATCAAGACCAGCTCAAAACATTTTTTTTTTTTTGCCAGAGATAGAGCACAAAATAGCACACCCGAAATCAAGGTGCATAATAATCAAGAATGATTCAAAATAGACACAAACTGATATTCTTAACAATGATTCCACTTTCTCTAACTTTAGAAGTGCACATGATTCAGTGCACTTCTAATTATCCCATTGTGTAACCCGTGTGCATGGTTAGTTTGCACCCAAATAGAACTGTGGGCAGTGTTATCTGAGATGACAACCCTATGGCATATTAGGAGGGCCATGACATGCTGATGAATGATGGAAAACCATCCTTCTTTAGTTTCCTTTTCTCTACTGCTTCATTTTTTTTAAAATTTCCCTATTGAGGTAGCGCTATTCTAGATAAATGGGCTACATTGGTGGTATTATGTATATACCATATGAGGTAGATGCACTGATGTTTCACTATGTCATTTACTTTACTTTAAAAAAGGAAAGGAAAACCATTGTGGCTTGTTGAATGATGGCCATGGGAGAAGGCAGGAAAGGGGGCTATGACGGGCCCCCCAAGCCCCAAGTTTATTGACAGATGACAGAATCTCTCCCCCTCATTAGTTATTACTTGGTGGGGGAGGTAAAAAAAGATTAAACCGTAGGCTCTGCTCCCCACAAAGCAGCACAGCCCCATCAGAGTCCCACCTGGGGAAAAAGGTGGGTCTGTTACCATCTCCCCCCTTCACCCTAGAGTTTTTCCCTTGCACCAGTACTGCTGCCAGGAGGTTGCCATGTCGCACTATCCTCCTCTGGAGTTGCTGCCACCTCTATAAAAAGGTAAAGGTTCCCCTTGACATTTTTAGTCCAGTCGCGACCAACTCTAGGGGGTGGTTCTCATCCCGTTTTCAAGCTGTAGAGCCAGCACTTGTCCGAAGACAATTTCCATTGCCACGTGGCCAGCGTGACTAGGGAACACCATTTTACCTTCCCACCAAGGTGGTACCTATTTATCTATTCACATTTGCATGCTTTCAAACTGCTAGGTTGGCAAGGAGCTGGGACAAAGCGACGGGAGCTCACTCCATCACGTGGATTCGATCTTACAACTGCTGGTCTTCTGACCCTGCAGCACAGGCTTCTGCAGTTTAGCCCACAGCGCCACCTCTATAATCATGGGTAAATTGGTTAAACCTTACTTGCAAGTAAACTAGTAACCTAAAGATCTATCTAGACCCTTTTCACAGAGGAATAAATATCTCCAGTGTGAACAGAAAGATCACTCAAGTGTCAGCTAAGATAGATTGGACTGAAGATAATCTTCAAAGAACCTTTTAGGTTTGAACCAGATAGCTCCAAATCCCACTGTCTGGACAGGCCCTTAGTCACATCACTGTCTCTATCCAGTAAATATGTAATTTCCTTAATTAATACTTAGGACATCCTTTGATATTGATTCTTAATAGCCAGCTTCCACACAAAGGCAATGGCGACACCAGAATATTTTTTAGTAAGCCTAGTGGTGTATTTTTTAAAAGGTAACTCATTTTGATTGAAGGCCAGAAAGAGGGCAGATTGGAATCACATGAATCATTCCACTTAACACATGAGAATGTATCTCACTGATTATTATTACTTCTTTTGTAATAGGCCTTTCAAAATACTCATTCGCACAAAAAAATGTTGACAAGAGCCCTGTGAATTTCTCCTGCAGTACAACAGAATGCTAACATCTGAATAAAGGACATAAGTAGGGGACTATAATACCCAAATTACAAAGAGAACAATTCAAGGCATTTAAGAGAGTGGAGCATTTTATATAAGGAGGGAATGTCAACCAATTCATAACTTTGTCCTTTCAGTGTTCATTAAAATGTCCTGTTCTTCCATGTTCTCTAGCTGTGAATTTCGTTGTATGATATACTGTGTATATGCTTACAATGACAATAAATTATATTATTATTCAAGAACTGCGGTGTTGTGCAAAATTCAAACTTAAATGTGAGGATTCACACAGGTGGGCTTGTAGTGACAGAACACAAAAGGTGGCCTCTTGCCAAATAGTCCCACAGCCAGGTTAAAGGAAAGTTCCAAATTCCCCCAATACACGCCATAACATGAGTAGCGCCATACTACATACAGTACACAACAATGCTCCAGAGAATATACCTCCTCCCAGCTGTCTTCAATATCTAGAATAGGTGGCGTGATAAAGACAGGGCCTGTCATTAGCCATAAGGAGGCAGCTGCCATAGGCAACTTATGCTGGGAGACAGGGAGCAGCTGCAAGGCTGTAGGGCTCTGTGCAAAGAACAAAACCTGCCTTTTGCCCTCTAACCTACTCTTGGCTATGGTGGAAGAAGTGTTGCCAGTGTTGAAGTACTAACCATCTCTATGTTTACCTGGATTTATACATGGAATGATGGAGAGCTCTATTCCATCCTTTACTCGGTAACAAAAACCTTTTTTGGCAAGCCCTAGGTCAAAATGAATAACAAAGAAAAACTGTTTGAACCTGTTGGCTTTCCATGAAGGTACATCTCCTCCCACTTCTACATAATCTACATTACTAATGTACCCCAGGCTACAACTAGATTGACCAAAAATGTAGGAAATACTACCAAATTGGGATGATCTGATTTGCATTTTTAAAATTCCTGATCAAGGTATTAAAGCAAATACAAGGCAGCCTGGAGTCCCCACCCCACCCAAAATAGGTAGTTTTCCCCTCTGACATTGGGGCTTCTACTTTTTCCATGCTAGATGCATTTTCATCAGTTCATCAGTGTGACTGCTTGAACTGATGCAGAAAAGTGAGTATTGTGGTTGGCATAATGGTGCTATGGCTGTGGGGAGAGGGCAAAGATCCAGTGTGGGAGGGCAGAATCTTTGCAAAAAATGCCACATCTCTGTTTTCAAATAGTTTGGAAGCAGCACTGTTGCACTACGGCACTTAGACACATACAAAAAAGAAAGTAAAAAAGCAAAGAGAGAATGATAGGAAGAAACTGATAATCGATCCTTGTTTACAGCTTATTGAAGTAGTTATCCCATAACTGTGCTCCTGCAGAGCTACATTAACAAGGTGAAAACAGGGCTGTTTAGCCAATTTCCTCCTTCTTGTGTGGCCAGTTAACACAAACATAAACAGGGAGATCCGAATTCCCTGGTACAACTTCACAGCAAGTCAATTCACATTTCTCTCACTATGCAGTCAGACCCCTAATCTTAAATCTTTGGGGCAATCTTGGTTCTTAACATTACACTGAGAGAACTGTGGTCCTGACTGGGACCCTTGGGGGAAAAAGCTCTTTGAGATCATTGCCAAACTTCAGTTCCCAGAACTCTGTGAGAAAATTTGTGCCTAGTTTCAATTGCTTTGAATTTTTACTGAAGATATACCTGATTCAATATGAAATGAAATGTTCCACCATGGAAGATTCTGTTTGAATAAGTCCTCCCTAGATTGTTGAACAAAAATGTTGTTAACGCATTTAACTATGTACCGTTTACTCCACAGGTTTGTTCTTTCTCCGCCCATGCATCTCGCCGTTTCCGCAAAGTCTTCTGAAAAATGTTTGTCCTGTAGACTATATGTGGGTGAGCCCCTTCTTCTGATTGATAGTTCTTCACTGGCTCAATGAAGTAGTCGCCATCTGGTAGATGGAAATACCCAGTCTGAGAATGAAAACACAAAGAGTGTACATAGAAACTGTAGGTAGTACATTTGAACTACACTGGCTGTTGGAGATCTGGTCATTATATTTATTTCTGAAATTTCCCCTTTTCCAATTTTGCTGGATGCCAAATTAGCTGGCCATTTTTGCAACGGATTGCACAGTTCGCGTTGTGGCTGCACAACTGATCACATGGTTCACCATTGTGCAGTTACACCATCAGTTGCACAGTTGACATTGGCAGTTCTTCACAGACATTTCTTCTGCTCTGCTGCAGTTCTTTCTATTGCTGTCACAGCTTCACATTATGCAAGCATAGCTGTGCAACAGGATCTCAGACAGTGCGCAGCAATCAACAGTAGTCAGAACTGGGGCTATCCTGGTTCTCTCTCTTTCTCTTTCTCTCATATACAAACGCCACATAGATACAAGCATTCATGTATATATACAAAACCAGACAGTTTACCTCTGATAAGGAGGCACGCAAAAATGGGAAATTGGTGGGTGGTGAATGAGGGGTCACCACACAGTGGAGGCTGAGAAACTGAGAGAAGAGCCTCCTGGAAGATCTTAAAAAGCAGATGAAGTTGAATGTCATCAGCATATTGGTGGTACCAGACCACAAAATTCTAGACAGCCTCTTTCATGTTTTTCATGTATATGTGATACAGTATGGCGACTCCTGGAACCCTGAGGCACTCCACAGTCTAATGGTCAAGGTGTTGAACAGCAGTCCCCCAGCACCACTAAAATTCACAAAATGGCATCCCACAAGGGATACTCTCTGAAGCTGATGCCTTTTTTCATCAGTTAAGCACTTCTCACCCTAATACAAAACAATTGTCAGAGCTGTTTTTCAACAAATGTGAATGGTAGTGAGCAGAAGAGGGTCTCTTGTAGACCATCTTGACTGCTGCCATTGGTGTTGTCAACATTCAGGCTGCCCTTTGCTATTTAAAGCTCAGCATTCTTTATTTATTTATATTTTTTTGACAATGGGGGACAGCAGGAAGAGAGAACAACCTAACATGAGTAACTCATACAGAGCAAGAAAGGGAGTTTCTACCTCCCTAACCTTCACCCCAATGTTCTCCCATGCTGCGGCTGTCTCCTTACTCATGAATAAACCAGGTAAACTAACTCACAAGTAAACTGTGTACAAGTAAGTTTGAGATCATCCTCCACCACCAAGGAAAAAAACTATTTTCACAGCTTAAATGAGTGAGCTTCTACAGATTATTCTACTTTTAAAAACTTCTTTAAATACTCAGGGTTTTTTAAAAATGGTAATCTTACTCACAAGTAAACCAGGTAAGATTTCCTTTGAGATCATTCCCAGCAATAAAGCAAAAAAAAAAAAAAAAAAGAAAAAAAAAAAAAACTTTCACAGCTTTCACAGCTTAAAGGAGTGAGCTTCTGAATATTATTATCTGCTTTTAAAAATATTTTTTAAAATTATTAACTGGGTCTTACAGTTCAATAAATATACATAGGAACTGTATTTACTCTGTATTTACTGTATTAGGAAGCCAAGATTGACAACATTACTTTCAAAAACTACAAATCCCAGAATTCCCCAACTGCATAGTGACTATTCTGATTGAAGGATTCTGAATGGTGCTGTCCAAAAAGTAAATTTACAAGCTCTGTACAGAATGTCATTCCATTCCCTACTACAATAAAGCCTATAACAGTAAAACAAAAC